GTGGCTGTCCATTACTAAACCTTTCTTACTTTTATTTTATGTAATATAATAATATACTATTATTGATGAAATAATAATACTAAAAGCTGGCTTATTCTCTAATTATCAAGTTTCCACCTATTTTGAGACGACCATTTGTTGATTTAATGGTCGTTTTTTCAACCAAGAAAACACAACAAAAAAAAAAAGGATCATTAAAACGTAGTATATTGTTTGCAAAGTCAAGTTCACCGCCGATTAATAAATCGTAGTAGCGAGTCAACACTGAAATTGCTTTAAATGCCCTTAATTTAGATAAAGTTGCAGATAAAACAGTTTTCAACAACTCAAGAAACAAATAAAACAACAATTAAGTGGTATTTAGCGTTTACTACAATCAGATTTATAGCAGAAGTAGTTCATGTTGATCTTGATTCGCGTATTGTATTTATTGCCTTTTTAATGAAAAATAATTGAACGTATATAATGTACTAATTACAGTTTCTTTATTATCTTATGTACCGTAATTAAGTACCTTCTCATATTAATAAAAAAAGTACCTCCGGTTACAGAATAAATTAGACATGCAGACGGGTCATGGCCTTCCCAACGCAAAAATATTATTTTATTTAGGTATTTAAATAAATATATTGGGTATTTCCCGTATATGTTAGAAGCTATTATTTTTATATATCACCGTGAAAAAATCTAGAATAGTTGCTTTTGTCTATTTTAAAGGCTTCTAAAGTAACGTTCATTATTGAAAGATCCTCTACGAAGTTTCCCAAAAAAACACTGAAGAAACATTCTCAATTAAAACTTTGTGTTATTATTCATTTTTTAATATCATAAAAAGTAATTAATTTATTAATAATTAAAGTGATCAATTTGGAGGAGTAGATCAGTATGTAAATCATAAACAGTGAGTGTTAAAATTAACTATGAATTTTTCCACAAAGATATAGCAAAGCACATTTTTGTAGTAGAATCCGAAAAGTACAGGGGAATATCAGCAATCAGCACTAGCTGTAGATTGTATGGTAGAATATTAAAAGATTACATATGAGAAAGAATAGTAACAGGAAAGATAGGAATGGAGAAAGAAGACCTGAACATCATCGGAGTATACGGCCCAGAAAATAACAAGCCTCCAACGACAAGGGAAGCGTTTTACGACCAATTACAACAAGAAATAATAAAAAAAGTAAGATCTAAAAAAGGATACCAAATGGGAGAAAAACAACTTAAAACAATCTGCTATGCAGACGACGCAATAATAATCTCTCAAAGTGAAGATGTTTTACAATCTATGCTTCACCAATTTATACTTATTATTGGACTATTGGAAAATGGTTGTTTTTCTCTGGGCTATAAATTTGCGTTTTTGGAGCTCCTTGTAGATATTGAACCTCTTGTAATTTGCGGGAGGTGTGTAAAGGGGTAGTGAAGCGCAATACATGATGTCGTATCCTGTTGGCATCACTTAGCCTCTCCTATTCAATTCCTATCTTCAGCTCCAAGCTGGTACATACCGGTAACCTGAGCAACCCCACTAGAGATTGGGTAACCAACCCCCAATGGAAGGTGGGGTCAGGGCTGACGAAGAAGGGAGTCTTGGTCCTCCGACGAATAGGGGGTTGGGCTGAAGGTTAACTACCTTCTCCTAGAAAAACCATGAGTTATGAACGTTCAAGAAAGAAAAGCCAGACTGATTAAACGACGACGACTGTGCGAGAAAAAGGAACACGATTTGAGGGTTGCGACATGGAATGTTCGAACATTGTACAGATTAGGGGCTCTCCAAAATCTCTTAAACGAACTAAGTAGATACAAAATTGACATAACTGCCATACAAGAAATGAGGTGGATTGGAAACAATATTATGGAAAAAAAGAGCCATACCATTTTCTACAGCTGCGCTCCTAAAGATCACATTTTGGGCACTGGATTCATAGTTAACAAGAAAGTAAGACATATAATAAAAGACTTCAGAGTTCCATCAGTCCCAGAATGTGTATTTTAAGAATTAAAGGACGTTTCTTCAACTACAGCCTAATTAATACGCATGCCCCCACAGAAGAAAAAGAAGAGGAAGTCAAAGAAGAGTTTTATGATGAATTAGAGTCCGCATACCAGTCATGCCCAAAAAGTGATATAAAAATAATTTATGGAGACTTAAACGCAAAAGTTGGAAGAGAGCAGCAATTCCAACCCACAATAGGTAAGCACAGTCTCCATGAGCAATCAAATGACAATGGCAATAGGTTGGTAAACCTAGCAAGATCACTTAACATGGTGATTGCCAGCACATACTTCGCTCGAAAAGATATACACAAAGGCACCTGGAAATCACCAGACGGACTTACAGTGAATATGATAGATCATGTTATTGTAGACTAAAGACACCAATCGAATATAATAAACGTCCGTGCCAGAAGAGGGGCAAATGCGGATTCTGATCACTACCTAGTCGAAAGTAGGATAAGGACTAGAATTTCAAACATCAAAAAGGAAAGAGGCTCTAAACATAAACGATACAATATAGAAGGACTCAAAGAAACAAACAAAAATAGAGAGTACAAAGAAAATATAAGCATCAAACTAGAAAACAGACTAAAACATGAAAACCTAAATGAGGAATGGGAAGAGTGCAGAGAAATCATAAAAGAAACAGCTAAAGAGGTGTTGGGCATGGAAGGTAAAGAAAGAAGAACAAGAACGAATCACTGGTTTGACGAAGAATGTCAAACTATAACAGAAAGAAAAAACAGAGCATATCTACAGATGCAACAGAGGCACAGAACCCGACAAGCAGAGGAAGAATATAAACAACTACGTAAAGAAGAAAAGAAAATTCACCGAAGAAAGAAGAGAGAATATATCAACAAAGAACTTCAAGAACTACAAGAACTAAGTAAACCAACAGAGACAAGAAAATTTTACCAGAAACTCAACAAAAGCAGAAAAGAGTTCAAACCGAGAACAACGATGTGTAAAGATAAGGAGGGTAATATATTGACAGAACAGCAAGAGATACTTAGAAGATGGACAGAACATTTTAAGGAAAAGCTTGGGGTGAATAGGACGGAGATGAACCCTGATATACCGTTAGACCAAGCAGACAACAGAGAAAAGAGTCCACTAACAATAGCAGAGATTAGAACAGCAGTGGACAAATTAAAGAACAATAAATCACGGGGATCGGATCAAATATCATCGGAGCTACTGAAAGAAGGAGGAGACGCATTACTTAAAGCCATACATGAGCTGATAAGAAAGATATGGTTGAATAAACAGCTACCAAAGGAGTGGAATAGCGGCATTATTGTACCACTACATAAAAAAGGAAACCAGTTAGAATGTGAAAACTACCGTGGAATCACGCTGTTGAATGCGGCATACAAAATAATGTCCAACGTAATGTATGAAAGACTTAAACCATACGCTGAAAAAATAGTTGGCAAATACCAATGTGGCTTCTGTAGACAGAAGTCAACAATAGACCAGATATTTGTTCTGCGACAGATCCTTGAAAAAACAAATGAATATAACATCGACACACATCATCTCTTCATAGACTTCGAAAGCGCGTATGACAATATAAACCGAGAATTCCTAACAAAAGCAATGAAAGAATTTAATATACCAACACAGCTAATAAAATTGATAAAAGAAACACTAAAAGTAGAAAGTAAAATCCGGATACAAAACGAATTAACGGAAACAATAGATGTGAAGAAGGGACTACGCCAGGAAGACGCTCTATCATGCATATTATTTAACATCGTACTTGAAAAAATAATAAGAGACACAACAGTTAATACCCGAGGAACAATAATTAATAAAAGCGTGCAAGTACTAGCATTTGCAGATGATGTTGACATAATCGCAAGATCAAGAAGAGAAATGATAGAGGCATTCACTCAAATAGAACGAGCTGCAAAAATATTGGTCTTAAAATCAATCAGACAAAAACAAAATATATGCCTGCAAATAAAAACGCACAAATAAGGCAGCTGCCAAATTTAACAATAGGAGAATACAATATTGAGGCGGTAAAAAACTTTACATACTTGGGATCCCTAGTTACGTCTGATAACAACGTTGCAGAGGAAGTGAAGAGGAGAATATTTATTGCCAATAAATGTTACCATGGCTTAATTAGGCAACTAAGATCAGATAACGTCTCCAGAAAAACAAAATGCCAAATATACAAAACCTTAATAAGACCGGTACTCACATACGGTTCAGAAACCTGGACACTCTCTAAAAGGGAGGAAACGTTATTAGCCACCTTTGAAAGAAAAATCTTGCGACACATATATAAGGGCACAAAAGAAAACGGGATTTGGCGGACAAGGTATAACTTTGAACTATACAACATATACCAGGATCCGGATATCATAACATTCATTAAAATATGAAGGCTACGTTGGATTGGACATGTGGAAAGAATGGAAGAAGGCGAAATACCAAACAAAATATTCAAACAAGTGCCAGTAGGAAAAAGAACAAGGGGAAGACCGAAGCTGAGATACGTAGAACAAATAGAAAATGATATAACAGCATTAAAAATTAAAAACTGGAAAAAAAAGCACGAAACAGGTCAGAATGGAGAAGAATCCTTGAACAGGCCAAGACCCAAAAAGGGTTGTCGAGCCAGTGATGATGATGATGATGATGTAATTTGTGGGATGACTTCCTTTACACAGTACGCAAGTTGCTGAGGTTTGTCTATATTGCATACAATCTTTAGAAGAATGACTACACCCTGGATTGGTCTACAGCTACAAAACGGAAAACCAATGTAGTTAACAGGTTAACAATAATTTAGTATTTTTAAAATTAGTGTTGATTCAATAATTTCAATAATTTATTATTAAACATTAATAATACTTGCCTTTTAATCTCAGAGCTCTAAAAAATTTCAATATTATTTCAAGATTAACCTGCATACCCAATGACTTTTTTCTCTCGTATTTTTCATTATTTCCTTCTTTTACGATAATTATTTGTTACAGGGCTGGAACGACGTTGGGTTTCATGGAAGCAATCAAATTCCGACACCAAATATAGACGCCTTAGCTTATAACGGCATAATACTCAACAGCCATTACGTTCATTCAACTAGTAGTCCTACAAGAACTGCACTTCTCACTGGAAAATATCCTATGAAATTGGGTAAATTCAAGCGTTTCGTCTAATTAGGATATATTTAAAAAAAAATTGGAATTTCGATAAATTTTCGATAATACATATTTTGATTTTATTGGAAAAATACTGCATGACTAATACACTCCCTTGTGGCACGCCAGCTTTGTTCTTTCTGAAATCGGTGTTCACTTCTTCTTGTTTTACTCTGAAATATCTATTCGCAATATATGATTCTAAAGATTTCTAAATACTGTTTATACTTCTTAGTTTATAATTTATATTTCAAATACTTATAATATATTAGAAATTTATCTTAAAGGATTTTTGTCACTAGACGAATCTCGCCCGTGTTAATTACGTGATAAACTTATTGATTATTAATTGATGGATTCGACCGTTACTTGATGGAGATTCATTTTATGTAACAATAAAACACTGAAAACTTTGTTTTCAAACTTCCACAAAATTTATTTTAACTATTATCACTACAGCGGTTTCGGCTGATTGCCTTTCTCAAGTGATCTATTTTTGGCATGCGTTTACAATTTATAGTCTCTAATGAAATAGGTTGAGGAGGGGAGAACTGTTTGTCTCAAGTTGGTCATTCAGAATTATATCTGTGTTTTTTAATTTGTTGATTTCCATAGATGTAACCATAATGTAACCTGAAGTTACCTGAAGTCATATTTAATTTAATAATGAACATCACAGTTTTTTAACAACAAGATGTATAATCTTTGATAACTATAAGTAATTTAAAGGGTTTTTACCCATGTATTTTTGGTGGCTTAGGCATTTTAATCTAGCAGATTTTAAACCCGATGATGGACTGTTTAGTCCGAAAACGTTTGTTTTTTTGATGTAGCCCTTTTAAGGGTTTTTAAATAAATATACCCACTTACAAAGACTAACCTCTTTTTTTGTGATACGTGGTATACAGCCAGCTACAGGAATTGTTTTCCTTATGGATTTTAATTTCTATATTGGTGGAGATACTTAGACGACGTACTGGTATGTTTCACAGGAACTAACAGGCAACTCTACCAATTTTTATCGTATATTAATTCACTTCATAGTTATATTGAATTTACAATAGAAACAGAACAAAATCAATCCATAAATTTTTTAGATATAAAAATTATCAGACTTAAAAACAAACATGACTTCTCCATATTTCATAAACCTACACATACTGACACGACTATACACAATTCATCATCCCATCCAACACAACATAAACTGGCAGCTTATCGTAGTATGTTACATATATTAACAGAAATTCCGATGTCAAAATACAACTTTGAGACATAATTAAATATAATTAAGCAAATAGCAGTAAGCAACGGATACAACCAACAACCAATTAATAAAATGTTAAATCAAAAACTACACAAGAAAGCCCTGAAATTAGTATTTCCACCATCAGAGAAAAAACCCAGTACCTTCTGCTCGATTACATATACAGGCAAAGTAACAACAAAAATAGCCAAACACATAAAAAAGAAAGGAATAACATCAGCTTTCCGAACAAATAACAACCTAGGCAAATATATTAAAAATAACAAGAGCCAAAATAAAAAACACTTAAATAGTGGTGTGTACAAACTTCAATGTGGCGACTGCCCAAAAACTTACATCGGTCAAACTGGTAGAAACTTTAATAAACGAATAGCAGAACATAAAAGGGCTTTCAATAATAGAAAAACAGACTCGACATACGCACTTCACCTTCTAGATCATTATCATTATTTTAATGACAAATTTAAAATTCTTCAAATTCAAAATAAAGGCCTTAAGCTATCTTTGTTAGAATCTATGGAAATCAACAAATTAAAAAACACAGATATAATTCTGAATGACCAACTTGAGACAAACAGTTCTCCCCTCCTCAACCTATTTCATTAGAGACTATAAATTGTAAACGCATGCCAAAAATAGATCTCTTGAGAAAGGCAATCAACCGAAACAGCTGTAGTGATAATAGTTAAAATAAATTTTGTGGAAGTTTGAAAACAAAGTTTTCAGTGTTTTATTGATTATTGTTTTTTTATTTGTAGAAACATATAACAATAAATAAAGGATGTGAAAAAATGATTTAAACCCTCATGTCAAACGCCTGGACTAAGTCCAAGAAGATTGTAGAGTAAAGTTTTTTTTCTCCTAATGTTTTTTCTATTATATTCGTTATTGTGTGAACTTGATCTATAGTGGAATGTGTGTTTCTGAAACCAAATTGATGATTTGGTACGATTTTTTCTTTCTATTATTGGTTTTAATCTTTTCAATAGAAAATGTCATAAAAGCAGCATTTATTAGGTATGTCATGGCTTTTCCTTGTAGATTTTTTAATACTTCTCCTGTTATGACATCATTTCCTGGAGCTTTCTTAGGATTTATATTCTCTTTTATCTCTGCTGATACTTCTCTAAATGATGTCAACGTTATTCTTTCTTCCGTTTGGAATAGTTCTTCCCATCTCAGTTCTTCGCCATCATTCTGCACCTTATGCAAAACTTTTTACTTTCTGTTAGTTACTTCTAGCCCAGTTGCCGTTTTCCAACTTGATAGGAAGAGAATGAATACTTGGTGTCTTTTTGTTGCCTTTCATAACGAATAATCTGTGTTCTGGTCACCTGTTAAATTACTTAAAAAGTAATCAATTGTTCAATTTTTTATATTTTTATACTTTAGTTTTGGTGTAGCATTATTTAAAAAATATATGAATTTGGAAAAGTTATGAGTCCTGAGAAAATAAATAAATAGTGAGAAATTAAGTAAAAAGGATAATTATAATATTAAAAGATTTGTGGGTGGTTCCAATAAAATTACAGCTAAAGAAAAGGAAATATTTGATTTAAAGTTAAAATTAATTAAACGTTTATAAACTGATAATAAAATCACATTTTCTATTACAGGTTTACAAGGAACTTCATTTTTACCTGCCGACAAACGATCTTTACCAGAAGGAAAGTTATTACCAGAATATTTTAAGGCAAGAAAATTTAGCTAAATCTTTAGGTATCGACTTCCTGTAGTTGACCTTTTCTAACTTTAATTGAATATGTTAAATATATTATATCATCCTGTTTTAGGAACTCGGATATGCCACTTATTTAGTTGGAAAATGGCATTTAGGGTACTCAAAATGGAACGATACACCACAGTTTAAGGGATTCGACCATCATTTTGGCTTTTATAATAGCTTCACTAGTTATTATGATTATTTAACTACATATAAGGTAACTATATTTTTTGCTAGCAGAACATACTTTTTGGTATTTTAGAATATTAAAATAAATAGTAGATATAATGATATTATACACATCTTTAAAAAAACTGCGGAAACTAAACAATTTTTTTTAAGTGGGTATATTTATTTAAAAACCCTTAAAAGGGCTACACCAAAAAAAAAACAAACGTTTTCGGACTAAACAGTCCATCATCGGGTTTTAAAATTGCTAGGTTAAAATGTATGAGCCACCAAAATACATGGGTAAAAACCCTTTAAATTACATATAGTTATAAAAGATTATACATCTTGTTGATAAAAAACTGTGATGTTCAGTATTAAATTAAATATGACTTCAGGTAACATACATTCTTGAATTGAGTTCCAGAGCCGGGGAGTAAACCTCTACGCACGGAGAACAGCTGGAAACTGAGCTGAGTTTCCAGCTGTTCTCCGTGCGTAGAGGTTTACTCCCCGGCTCTGGAACTCAAGTTTTACAATGTATGTTTTTTATCAACAAGATGTATAATCTTTTATAGCTATATGTAATTTAAAGGGTTTTTACCCATGTATTTTGGTGGCTCATGCATTTTAACCTAGCAATTTTAAAACCCGATGATGGACTGTTTAGTCCGAAAACGTTTGTTTTTTTGATGTAGCTCTTTTAAGGGTTTTTAAATAAATATACCCACTTACGAAGACTAACCTCTTTTTTGTGATACGTGGTATACAGCCAGCTACAGGAATTGTTTTCCTTGTGGATTTTAAACAAATTTTAATTGTGTCTATACCGATTTTATGTCCGCTTCAGCAACGGTGATAGCCCAGTCTGATTAAAAAAAAGGTCGAAAAATTTTTCGCAGATATTTGAAGCTTTTAAGACATAGAGACGGGGTTACTAGCTGATGAATAGATGAAACAGTGCTTGTATTTTTACCTTGCGTTTTTTTTAAACAATTATTTATGGTCACAATTTGATTTTTTGTCAAGTTTTTTCCTTATTTTACATAAACAATATTTATATCATATTTTCTCGTTTTTAATATTAATAAATAATTTACGGAGATATTTGAAAAAAAGCAGTTTTTTGCACTAATAATATATATATATATAAATTTTATTAATTATTTTATTAACAAAATAAAATGTTATTAATACATTTAAACATCGAGGAATTACTGTCTTTTAAATTTGTGCGAAATTTCTGAAAATAGTTTAAAAGTTGTTTAATTTATTTATCCCCGAGGCTAAATACTATTGAATTTGCTCTATTAATGATGCTAGACAAATTTAGCAAATTTTATAGGATTCTTTAAGACATAACTATCCCAGAAGTTAAATGCATACTGCGTTTTTATCAAAATTATTTACAAAATAAACGTTTGAAAAAGGGGTATGTTTTTTACTTATAAACAATTGTAATTACTTTTATATTTTTCTAGCTACAGACTTGTACGTACAACCATTGGTAAAAAACTCACATTTAAAGCTCAACTCAAAACCTTCTATAACTAATAGGAACGAAGTTAGGGACTATTTTGACGAAATAATTTTGGAGCGTGGCAGCTGGTACTCATCCCGCCTTTTTTACAAATACTAAGATATATTACCGGTTTTCTATTGTATAGATGACCTTTCTCTCATTCACATAAATACATATAAAATGTAGGGACACGAGGGCAGTATACTCTGTGATCTTTGGAGATATTTAGATCTAAAAACATAAATAAATGTGTTTACCGTCCTCGTACTGTACACATACTTATACACATATATAAACCTATAGATTGTCAAAGTAGTAAATAATTATAATTAATATAAGGAATATAATAATAATATCTCTCTTTATGGTGCCCTATCTAATTAGTGGATGTTGGCGACAATCCTGGAATACTCCTCTCGATCTTGTGTGGCTCTAAAAAGTGCATGGGCATCGAGATTTGTCCAATCCCGTATGTTTTTAAGCCATGAGTATTTCTTTCTTCCGATGCCTAGTTTTCCTTCTATCTTCCCTTCCATAATAAGCGTAAATAATAAGAGTAAATGTAACATTTTACAAAGCCATATCGAAGCATTAAGTTGAGGCTGCTGTTGCTTAGCAAGATTCTCATATTAGTAAATGCTGTTCTGGCTTGCTCAATCCTGCTACGTATCTCTATGTCTTTATCTAGATCTTCAGTTATCCAACTACCGAGATATCTGAACTTGGGGACCTTTTGGATGTTCTTGTTGTTTACTCTTATATTCAATTGCATATTTCGTGTTCTACTAACCACCATTACCTTCGTCTTGTCTATATTAATCTTCAAGCCCACTCGTTCTCCTTCAGTGTTTATTCTATCTATTAGTCGTTGTAGCGCTTCTTGTCTATCAGCTATTATGACTGTATCATCAGCATAGTGAAGATTACTAATAGTCTGTCCGTTGATTTTGATTCCATCTTCAGTCATTTAAGGCTCGATCAAAAATCGTTTCTGAGTAAAGATTAAAAAGGAGGGGTGACAGAACACATCCCTGTCGTACACCTTTTTCGATTGAGAAATATGATGTAGATTCCAGTCCTACTCTCACAGATGCCACTTGAATCATATAAAGGTTCTTTATGATTTTAAGGTCATTCTCATCTATCGAACGTTCCTGGAGCAATCTTATTAATTCTGAATGATTAACATGATCGAATGCTTTCTTCTTCTTTGGGTGCCGTCTTCAATGAAGGTTGGCGATAACCTCAGCAAAATCATTTCTGTCCCTGGCTTTTCTTATTAAAGATTGAGAATCCAAACCAGTCCACTCACGAATGTTCTTCAACCAGGACGCCTGCCGTCTACCAGGGCCACGTTTTCCTTCTACCTTCCCCTCTATAAGAAGCTGCAGTAGCTGGTATTTCTCATTTCTGTATATGTGTCCCAAATATGAGGTTTTCCGTGTTTTCATTATTTTTAAGAGTTCTCTGTCGGTACCCATCTTGTGTAGGACCTGCTCGTTGCTCATATGCGCTGTCCAGGGGACTTTCAGCATCCTTCGAAATAACCACATTTCAAAACTCTCCAAACGCCTTAGTGAGTTGATTTTGAAGGTCCAGGCCTCCATTCCATATAGTAAGGTGCTGTAAACATAACATTTCAGCATTCGGTATCGGATTTTGAGATTGAGTGTTTGGGACGTAAACATTTGTTTCATTTTTAAAAAGACATTTCTTGCTTGTTCAATTCGCGATTTTATTTCTATGTCTGGATCTATATCTTTCGTTATCCAGCACCCTAGATATCGAAATTTCTCGACATTTTCGATAATGTTACCATTCACTTTTAAAGCCATGGGTGGATGGATGGATGTTTTGGAGACAATCATTGTTTTTGTTTTCTTGACGTTAATGCTGAGGCCGTATTGTTCTCCGATCGATCTGACGCGATCTAAGAGTGTCTGGAGATCCTGTGCGCTCTCTGCAATTAGGACCGTGTCGTCGGCGTATCGTACATTATTTAGAACTCTGCCGTTAATTTTAACACCTTCTCTTGATTGCTCTAGTGCTCGTGCAAAGATTTCTTCCGAATATATATTGAAAAGTAGTGGTGACAATACACACCCCTGTCGTACACCTCGCTTGATATTGAATATTTCTGTGTCACCGGCTTCTGTTCTAACTGCTGCCGTTTGGTTAAAATACAGCGTTTGGATAATTTTAAAATCGTTCTCGTCTAGTCCCTTTTTGTGAAGGCAATCCATCAGCTTATCATGTTTTACTTTGTCGAAGGCCTTTTGATAGTCAATAAAACATAAAAAGAGATCCTTTTTTTGGTCTCGACATTTTTGCAGCAGTATAATAAAACTGGTTAATGCTTCCCGTGTCCCAAATCCATTTCGGAAGCCAAATTGTTCATCACTGATATCCTGTTCACATTTCTTATAAATGCGTTGGTGAATAACTTTCAAGAATAACTTTAACATATGCGACATTAAACTAATAAGTCTAAAATCACCACACTTCTTTGCTCCCTTAGTTTTTGGAAGGGGAATAAAGACTGATTTTAACCAGTCTTGTGGAATTTCACCGCTTGTATATATTTGATTAAATAATTTGACGATTATATTTAAATGTTTCTCTTCCAGTAGCTTTATGACTTCCGTATGTATGTCATCGGGGCCAGGGGCTTTCCCATTTTTTGCGTTTTTGATTGCTCTCTCTACTTCTTGTTTTAATATAGGAGGACTGGTTTCATGGTTTTTATATATTATGTTGTTTAGTGGTGTGTCCGAGAATAGTTCTTCTATGTAATGTCCCCATACGTTGTTTAGATCGCTTAATTCCCATATCGTTTCATTCTCGTCGTTTGTTAATCTACAAGGGAGTCTTTGTTTTGTCATTCCAGCTAGATCTTTTATTTTTTTGTGAAGCGTTTGACTGTCGTGTTTCTTTATTAATTCTTCGATCTCTTGGCAGTTTTCTATCATCCAATTTTCTTTTGCGGTAGCTATTTCTTTCTTGATTTGACGATGTATCTCCCTATATTTTTCATTATCTTTATTTTTGTAGGCTCTTCGAGTATCCATCATTCCCAGAATTTTTTGTGTCATCCAGGGTTTAGATTTTCTTTTGTTATTAGTGTCTTTTATATATTTCTCGGCGCTAGTAAAAGCATTCTTGACTTCAGTCCATAAGCCTTCTGTAGTTGGTGATAACTCTCTTTGGAGTCTTTCACATTCCTCGTTGAGTTTAGTCTTTACCATACTTTGTATATTTTCTTGTTTAAGTAAATTGATGTCGGTTTTTCTTTTGACAGTCTTTTTTAGCATTTTGAACTTTATTTTTAATTTAGCCACTAGTAGGTTGTGATCCGATGGAACATCTGCGCCTGGGTATGTTCTTGTATCAGTTACTGCATTTTTATATCGCTGGTTTATAATAATGTAATCGATTTGATTTCGGACACAATTGTTTTTATTATCTGCGGGTGATTTCCACGTATATAGCCTCCGTAGTGGTAGCTTGAACCAGGTGTTCATGATAGT